CACTACCCGAAGGAGTCTCAGAGCGGCTTACAAACTCCTTTCCCTTCCCCTCCCCACAACAGACGCCCTGTGAGGCAGGTGGGGCTGAGAGACTTCTTTTGAGAACTGCCCTTGAGAGAACAGCTCTGAGAGAACTTGTGACTGACCCAGGGTCACACCAGCAGCTGCATGTGGAGGAGTGGGGAATCAAATCCAGTTCTCCCAGATTAGAGTCCGCGCTCCTAACCACGACACCAACCTGGCCCTGATGATCCACGACAGCTTCAAACATGGTGGCTAAATGAAACCTCCATGTGCAGTGGCAGTATGCTTTTGACTCTTGGAGGTGAGGCACAGATACCGAGGGAAGCCCCTCATTTTTGTGCCCTGCTTGGAGCTAGCCGCTGTTAAAAGCACGAGTGACGGCTGGCCACGGGCCTCCAAGTGAGTCAGGAAATCACACTGGGAGCACGAATCAAGGCCGTGTGCATCGCGCTGAAGGACCCAAGACGCCAAATTCCCTGCCAAGGCAGCCCAGATCTCATGCCAATTAAAGGCCAAGTGTAAAAATTATATAATCCGTGCCCGGTTGGATGCCTGCTCGTGTTGTGGCAAGTCATTTTGGCTATTTAGGTTACAGGTGTGCATGAAATACGGCCTGGAGAGGAGGCAGCCTCCGCCCTCTGCACGGGTTTAATCTGTCCTTAAAAGCACATAAGTATTTATTGGGAGCATTGGCTGGCCGGAGCGTGGCATTGGCGTCCCTGACAAACTACGAGAAGAAGAACAAGAAGAGAGGAGATTGGATTGATACCCTGCCCTTCACTACCCGAAGGAGTCTCAGAGCGGCTTACAAACTCCTTTCCCTTCCCCTCCCCACAACAGACGCCCTGTGAGGCAGGTGGGGCTGAGAGACTTCTTTTGAGAACTGCCCTTGAGAGAACAGCTCTGAGAGAACTTGTGACTGACCCAAGGTCACACCAGCAGCTGCACGTGGAGGAGTGGGGAATCACACCCGGCTCTCCCAGATTAGAGTCCTTGCCCCTAACTGCTACACCAAACAGGCAAAGGGGCGGATTGGCCATTGAACTGACAGGGAAATGTCTGGGCGGGCCGTTGCCATAGACGGCCGCTAAAGCAGATCCAAACTCTGGCAGCTCCGCCACTTGGCCCAACAGGAATGATGACTGGTGCCCGCTCACCAACTGCCACCTCCTCCTGCACTGCTGCCAGTTTGTGAGGGGTAGGAAAGGGTGTGCCAGTGCCTATTGTTGGCACCATCACAACCCCACCCTGGGTTTACGTGTCCGCATGTGTATCAATGTGTTTACATGCACGTAAGCATGTTCTTCTTTGGTGCTGCCACCCCAAGCTAATCCAGCCTCCCACGTTTACCATGCTTGGGGAACAGTAGCAAAAGCTGCCTCGGAGCATGTGCAAAGCGCAAAGTTTCCCAACAACATAAGAACATAAGAAGAAGAAGAGAAGAGATTGGATTTATACCCCGCCCTTCACTACCCAAAGGAGTCTCAGAGCGGCTTACAAACTCCTTCCCCTTCCCCTCCCCACAACAGACACCCTGTGAGGTAGGCGGGGCTGAGAGAGCTCTGACAGAAACTGCTCTTTTTTCAAGAACAACTCTGACGGAACTCTGGCTTGCCCAAGGTGTAAGTGGAGGAGAAGTGGGAAATCAAACCCGGTTCTCCCAGATTAGAATCCGCGCACTTAACCACGACACCAAATTGACTGCTCCTCAAGTTCACTGTGGGACCTAAAGTTGTCTGTGGGAGGGAGAATTTGTTCCCCCAGCTTCCCGTATGCCATATATTGTGTAATGAGTCCCCCGCCCCCCAGGATCTGGGTTCTCTTTTCTCCATTAATGTCCCCAGCCTCTTTCTCATATCTGTGCTGCGTTCCCTTTGGCCCCGAGTGGACTCCCAGGCCTGCAAAATTTAGTATTTATTTCATTTCATTTGTTTCGTTTACATCTCGCCTTTCTCCCTAAGGGAGACCCGAAGCGGCTTACATCCTTCTCCTCTCCTCCATTTTATCCGCACGACAACCCTGCCGAGGTAGGCTCGGCCACGTACATGTGACTGGCCCGAGGTCACCCAGCAAGCTTCCATGGTGGACTGGGGATTCTAACCTGTTTTCCCCCAGATCTTAGTCCAAAACTTTGACTGGCCCGGGGTCACCCAGCAATCTTCCATGGGAGAGTGGGGATTCTAACCTGTTCTTCCCAGATCTTAGTCCAAAACTTTAATTCGTACAGCCTGCTGGCTCTGTGTGTGTGTGTGTGTATGTGTGCGCACGCTTTTGAACCCCAGCAGTCGTCAGCAGGTCACTGCTGTGGATTGCTCTGTGGTGTTCGGCGCGGAGGCTGTCGCAGTCGCGAGGCCCTTGTTGAGACAGTGTGTTCTTGCGGTGTTTCTCTTGCAGCGCGAAAGGAAGTGTTGTCGGTTGTAGTGACTTAGCATTTCCTGGCTCTCCGTTTTACACAAGAAGCCCTGTTCTTTAAAAGTCACTTTCTGGTTCGGGCCACTTTCTCTTGGTTCCTGCATCCCCCCCCCACTCCCCTGCCTCCTCCGCCAGCGCAGTTGGATCCCGCGGGTGCCTCTTTTTCCTCTCCTCGGTGCAGACTGTATGGATCCTCCCTCTCTGTAGGGCTTTCCCTGCCCCTCCTGGCCATGGAGGCACGGGGCGGCTGGTCGAAGTCCCTTGCCCTGGCCTTTCAGGTAAATATCTGCCGGGTTCCTTTTGGGTGGTCGCTATCTGTGCAGCATTGCGCGTGGTTTGGTTGTTCGTGGATAGGCATCTCTGTGTGGACTTGGTGCATTGAGGCGCTGCAAGGAAAGAAACAGGCTGATGAAACGGAAACTCCTTTCTCTGTGTCTGGAGGCTCTTCTAGAGCGAAATGTTTATCTTAGTTCTGTTGCTGAAAGAATGGTGCGTGTCCCTCCTTTACCCCGTGGAGGGCAAGGGGAGGGAGTCAGATTGTTTTGCTTACAGCTAAGGAAGGAAACTTGCAGTTCCTACAGGTGTTGTTTGACCTCGCTGCAGAGGCCGCATTGCCTAGCCGTGCTCAACGGCGGCCGAAATGACCGAATCCTTCGGCTGCTAGGTTCACAGTGCCAATCCGGTGCACAGCTGCTCCTTTCCAAGCCCGTTCCAATCAGTGGGCTTGGAGCAGGTGAACTTTGCCGGGAGTCGCATGGTTAGAGACAAGGTCGCCAGTCTCCTGGTGGGGCCTGGAGGTCTTCCGAATTGCAACTGACCTCCAGACTTGAGATCGGTTCCCCTGGAGAAAATGGCAGCTTCGGAGGGTGGAGTCTGTGGCGTTATACTCCGCTGAGGTCCCTCCCCTCTACAAACCCCGCCTCCCCAGGCTCCACTCCCAAAACCCCAGGAATTCCCCAACCAGACCTTGGCAACCCTGCTTAGAAACCTGCCCAGGCTGAAGGCACTCTTATATGTGTTTGGGCAAATATGTCGTAGGTATGGAGGGCTATCTTTCAGCTATTCTATGTTGTAGGTATGGAGAGCTGTCTTTCAGCTATTCTATGTTGTAGGTATGTAGGGCTCTCTTTCAGCTATTCTATGTTGTAGGTATGTAGGGCTCTCTTTCGGCTGTGCTCCTGCAGAGTGCAGGGGGTTGGACTAGATGACCTGCAAGGTCCCTTCCAACTCTAACATTCTACGATTCTATGATTCTATAAATATATCTAAAATTCATTCTTTTTTTATATATATATAGGATATTTTTATTGGTTGTTTAACTCATAGATTATATTATTCCATTATTCAAAGTAGTTTCCACATTTTCTCCCCTTCCCTCCCCCCTCAGTCTAGTCTTTCTCTTCCTGCCAGGAACATAAGGCTTGCAGCTTCCACTGGACGTCCTCTTTCTTTTCTTCTTTAATCCAATTCAAGGGCGACCATTTCTTCTTAATCCTTTTTATCCTATCTTCCCATGGCAGGTAGGGCCACTATATCTGATTGGACAAATAGTTATGCCATGCTTTCTCCGTCCATTTACTTCTATCTTTCCACCCTAGTGCTATTACTGCTTTCCCAGCTAATATAATTGCTCTCAATAGATCTTGACTATTTTTCTCTATTTTCTCACTACCTAGAATACCTATCGTCATTAGCTCAAAATCTATATTTAGCTTCACCTTAAAAAGCTCATTTATGACTTTTAGTATTTTATTCCATAGTTTTTTAACCTCTGGGAAATTCATTCATTCCAAACTTGGGGAGTGGCACAAATTATTTCGGCCTATCCGTGTTTCTAGATAAGGATGTGGACAGAATGGAGCAGGTGCAGAGGAGAGCGAGGAGGATGATCGGCGGGGGGGCCTGGAGACCAAGAAGCCCTATGAGGAAAGACAGAGGCACTTGGGAATGTTCAGTCTGGAGAAGAGGAGGCGGAGGGGGGACAGGATGGCTCTCTTGAAGTCTTTGAAGGGCTGTCACTCAGAGGAGGGCAGGGAGCTGTTCCTGTGGGCAGCGGAGGAGAGGACTCGCAAAAATGGGTTGCAATTGAGGGCGGGAAGGTACCGGCTGGATATTAAAGAAAACTTTTCGACAGTCCGAGTTGTGCAACAGTGGAACCGGCTGCCTGGGGTGGTGGTGAGCTCTCCCTGACTGGCAGTCTTTAAGCAGCGGCCGGACAAATGCTTGTCAGGGATGCTCTAGGCTGCGTTGAGCAGGGGGTGTTGGGCTAGAGGGCCTGTGTGGCCCCTTCCAACTCTCTGTGATTCTAGGACTCTATACATTTGCTTTTGCGAGAATCAAACTATTGGTGTATTTCGCCACAGCCCAGTTTGGTGTCGTGGTTAAGTGCGCAGACTCTAACCTGGGAGAACCGGGTTTGATTCCCCACTCCTCCACTTGTACCTGCTGGATGACCATGGGCAAGCCATAGTTCTGTCAGAGCTGTTCTTGGGAAAAGAGCAGTTTCTGCCAGAGCTCTCTCAGCACCGCTGAGGGGGAGGGAAAAGGAGTTTGTAAGCCGCTCTGAGACTCCCTTGAGTAGTGAAGGGCAGGGTATAAATCCAATCTCTTCTTCTTCTTCTACATCGCCAGCATCCCTCCAAGGCTATCAGCAAACCCAATGGCCTGCATGGCATAGTGGGGATTCGAACGCAGGTCTCCAAAATCCCAGCCCACCTTTCTACCCCCCTCCTACACTCGAAGGCTTTCCTTCTCCTGGAGACCGAACCTGAGACTTTCAGTGGGTAAAGCAGGTTCTCTGTCTCTGAGCCTTGGTTCCTCCTTTCAATCTCTGACTTGTTAAGTGATGGGAAATGTGCTACACGCTGTGCTGCCGGCGGGCTGCGCTCCGAGGATAACGCTGTTGGAATGTTTGCAGTCCAGTTTGTGCGAGGGAAGGGCAGAGTAGCTCATTGGGCTTGGAATAACCTCGCCCCGTTTCCCAGCCTGCCTGGGGGAGGCTCTGTGAACGATGATGACGTAGGGAAGCTGGAGTGCTCAGACAGGTGACAGACTGAAGGACGGGTGCCAGGCGAGACTGAGAAAGAGGCGGCTTAAAGGCAAGGAGAAAGGGCTGGAAATGCAAGATCAGTGGCAGGGAATGGCAGAGGGGGCTCTGAATAAAATGCATTGGCAGTGAGAGGGGAGAGGAGACAGATTGCAAGGTGGTTCAAGAGGTAGGGTTGCCAGCCTCCAGGCAGTACCTGGAGATCTCCAGACAACCAAGATCAGTTCCCCCGGACAAAATGGCTGCTTTGAATCATAGAATCATAGAATGTTAAGAGTTGGAAGGGACCTTGCAGGTCATCTAGTCCAACCCCCTGCACCCTGCAGGAGCATAGCCGAAAGATAGCCCTGCAACATATCCGAAAGATGGTCGTCCAGCCTCCACTTGAAAACGTCCAGCGAAGGAGCCTCCACCACCTCCCGAGGCAGACTGTTCCACTGCTCAACCACTCTGACAGTTAGGAAGTTTCTCCTGAGATTTAGCCGGTATCGACTCCCTTGTAATTTCCACCCATTCGATCTAGCCTTGCAATCCGGAGCAAGAGAGAATAGATCTGCTCCATCTTCAACATGACAGCCCTTCAGATACTTGAAGACTCCAATTATGTCCCCTCTAAGCCTTCTTTTCCCAGGCTAAACAGACCCAACTCTTTCAGCCTTTCCTCATAAGACTTGGATTCCAACCCTCTCACCATCCTGGTTCCCTCTTCTGGACACGCTCGAGCTTGTCAACATCCTTCCTCAAATGTGGTGCCCAAAACTGGACACAGTACTCCAGGTGGGGCCTGACCATCGCAGAATAGAGTGGAACCACCACCTCCCGTGATCTGGACACAATGCTTCTGTGAATGCATCCTAAGATTGCATTAGCTTTCTTCGCAGCCACATCGCCCTGCAGGCTCATGTTTAGCTTGTGATCAACCAGAACACCTGGATCCCTTTCACATGAGCTGCTGTCAAGCTTTGAAGCATGGATTTGGTGGCACTGTACCCTGCTGAGGTCCTCTCACACCCCAAACCCCTCCCTCCCCAGGCTCCACCCCCAAAATCTCCAGGTTATACCAAACCCAGATCTGGCAACCCTGCCAAGAGACCCAAGGAAACACAGGGGGGGTGAGGTGTTTGACGGAAGCTTGTGGAGAAACCTGGGGGTAGGACTGGGGTTAATGCCCGTGTGGCAGGGAGGAAGTCTGGGGATAGGAGGTTGGTGAGGTCTAGAGCCTGTGTGGGGAATTCGGCCTCTTATGGTTTGTATTGCTACACTCCGATTTAGCAGACCACACGGTACACGTTTTTGGGTAATACTGCATTGCGTCATGAAAGATTCATGAACATGAGGGGAAAAAGAGAGTCATGAACACATGGGATTCATTGCCACAGGAAGTGGTGGCAGCTACAAGCAGTGACTGGTGCAAGAAGTATAGATGGAAGACTCTGTCTGGGGCAAGGGATGCTGTGTTTTCTTGGTGCTTGGGGGGCCACAGCGGGAGGGCTTCTGGAGTTCTGGCCCCACTGGTGGACCTCCTGATGGCCCCTGGGTTTTGGCCACTGTGTGACAGGGAGTGTTGGACTGGATAGGCCCTTGGCCTGGTCCATCATTGGCTTCTCTTATGTTCTTATGTTTGGGGCAGTGATGCTCTGTATTCTTGGTACTGGGTGAGGGAGACTTCTGGCGTTCTGGCCCCACTGGTGGTCCTTCTGATGGTACCTGGGTTTTGTCCACTGTGTGACACAGAGTGTTGGACTGGATGGGCCACTGGCCTAATCCAACATGGCTTCTCTTATGTTCTTATGTCTGGGGCAGTGATGCTCTGTCTTCTTGGTGCTTGGGAGGCTGTCTGGATAACCCCCCCCCCAGTGGAACAAATTACTCCTGCTTTTCGGCCTCCTGCCTGTAGGAGACGCTGTTCAGCAGCGGGAGAGGAAGGAGGTGTGGCCTCTCTGGTCCACCACCTTTCTGGGTCCTACAGAGCCATTTGGGTCCAGATGGGCCGATGGGCTTGTGTGAGTTTGTAAGCCGCTCTGAGACACCTTTGGGTAGTGAAGGGCGGGGTATAAATCCAATTTCCTCCTCCTCCTCCTCTTCTTCTTCTTCTCACATGGCATGGAGTCCTTCTACAGCAGGGGTGTCAAACATGCGGCCTTGGGGCTGCATCAGGCCCCCGGAGGGCTTCCATCAGGCCCACAGTGGAACTGGCCGTCTCCTGCTTCCAGTTCTGCTGCTGCATCACAG